AGCGTACGGCGAGTCTAAAAACAAGCGGGGGTAAGTAAAAGAACACAATGGCGGAAGGGCATACCTGTACAGTCGACACATAATTCTTCCAGTTTTTGCGCTGCAGCGTTGATGATGGCACTGCTATGTGCGCAGGGGCTGGTCCACAGCCTACGCAGATTCGCTATGCGTGGTAGAAATTCCGCGCTGGCAAGGACATCGCGAAGACGCGTGAAGCAGTCAGAGAGCACAAGATTCTCCACACTAGTGGAGATCGCGGGACTTGCAGTGGAAGCAGTCGAGTTCTGGTGATCTACTGATCCAGAAAGGAAGGATGCGCTGGTGACGGAGGAGAAAATGACGGCGACCAGCGAGATGGGAAGCCGTTCCATGTCGTAGGTGTGGAAACCTTCCAGTGTCGGCCGTCGAATCAAGGCAACGATGGCATCCGCTATCACTGGTTCAAGACGAGCCCTTGTATATTCTGCTGTGTCTTTGGATAGACGCAACTGGGTCACATTGGTGAATTTGTCTAGCAACTCGGGTAGTAGCCATTCTGGGGACGCTTTATCCCGGCGAATGTCCAACCTCAGTGTGCGGACATAGGTGGCAATGTGCGGGGATCGCTGAATTATATCCCACACATACCGATAACTATGGTGAGTGCCTCCCAGGCTCACAGATCGCAAGAGGATGCGCTGACTTGGTTCTCGGAAACGGGACGCTACTAAAGCGCATTCCTTGAGAGTTTCAATGTCGGGTACCTGGAGGAAGATGGAATCGATGAGTTCCGAAGGAACGGAGTCCATGGTGGCGAAGGCAAGACGAAAAACAGAGCCAGAGAACTATTGCCACGTGTACATCGGCAGCGGATTTCCGGTCGGAGATTGTCGGCCCGCGGTCGCCTTACCGGCCCGGAAGTCTCTCGAAAATCACATTAGAAGACATGCCTTCTCTTCACTCAGGCAATGAGGCATATGTTCCCAATTGTCCAGGAGGCATGATAATATGTTTTTCCTCAGTCAAGCTCATTTGAGTGGGGGCTGATGATTATTACACTGGAGAGACTACTGTACTATTTCAACGAAGTGTTCAGTCACTAGTCCCATTGACCGCTGATTTGAACACTTGGGAAAATGTCACGGCTTTTCGGCCTTTTGGATGGAGGTTTTTGTGCAAATTTGTGATTACGCGGCTCACGCGTAAGTCCCATATTAGGTGCCATGCGATGGACACTAGGATTGCAAACAATCTTCCTTTTGCAGGCTCGATCTTGGTTTTCTCTGATACAAATTTGATGAGGTTGCAGCCCAGAATCAGGCCCCAGTTCAGTTTGGGCCGGGCTGAATATCGCTTCAACCATAGTTGACGTGTAAGAGTCCGGATTACTTCTTGCTCCAGTGCGCCGCACTCCAACGCGTCCATTTTTCAAGCTCTGCTCTCCCCCTCGCATTGGTCTCCATTTACACAGGCACGAGACCGTCTTTCCAGCCTGCCGGGACTTTGCCGCAGTCCGCCGCAGACTCTTAGGACTGTGAAAGCAACTGCGATCTTTGTTCTTGGGCCACGACCGTCGGCTTTCCGTTGAACAACGACTTTTGTTCAACAGCAATTCTTTCCCCAACAAGGTACGTCGGGCGATCTCCTCCAACTCTACCTGCACCGTTGCAATCCGGTGACCTTTGCGCAGTACACTCACAGCATCTGCGACCTGCGCCGCAGGGCTGCGGACTGAAGATCATCCGCGCATAAATACGCCGCTGTATTCTGCTGCTATCGATCGATTTTCCCTGCATCATTCGTCGAACATACACGTATTCCAACGGACTTCAACACGCATCAACACTGCCTGCTCGCCTCAATTATGTGCTCCAAGCTTTCAAGCTCTCGGACGATGACATTCAAAATTCTGCGGGCCAATCTACGTTTATCCACAAGGATAGCTCTCACCTGGTGGTCGCCCGCCCACTCTGGCACTCAGGCTACTCCTCCTACTTATCCTTCCCCAATCACTCAATTGCCTTCACCTTTGATAGTGCCGTAGATAAGTTGCACAGAATAATTGAATGCCATTCCCTTTCTTTACCTAACAAGCGACAGAAAGTTTTCAAAGTTCATTGCGGCCCAACCTGGCCAGAGACTCACACTCAATTCTCGATCTCGGCAATTCAGATGGATTATCAGTTCAATTTTCGTGCCTACCGGAGCGAAGCGGCAGCACATCTTGTACACATTTGCCGATCCGGCGACGAGTGAGCCTGCAATCTCAGTCAGAACCAACATCACAAATACACTCGGGAGTTTTTGCGCCGGACGAAAAGAAAGGGAAAACCATTGAAGGCTGGCGCGCACCGGCGCTGTGAGGTCTAAATATGTGTACGGTGAGTTTGAGTAGGATAGGAACGATTAATATTGGGCGTACGTATTGAAGCAATATTTTTCGGCAAGTACTAGTATAGTCGTGGCGTCACACAGGGAGATGTGGTGGGAGGGACCGGAGGGTCGAGTGTAGTTCAGTAGCCGCGTGAAGACGTACGGATCCTGGGTAAACCACAAGTGAGGGGAGGAGAGATATCCGCATCAGCGACAGCGGGGACAGGTACATACCAAAAATGCTCACCAGAAACGGAATTGGCCTGGCATCCACAGAGGGGGTCAAAAAAGATCACAAGACCCGAGTGATGCCCGATCCCCGAGTCGAACGCGGACCCGCTCACTGTCATCAACGAATCCTTTCATACAAGGCGGGCGCGCACCGGCGCGTTCATGTCTGGGAATGTGTGATGTGAGTTTGAGTAAGCCAGGAAACAATTACAAGGTACGTCTGGACAAGGGGCGTGCAGTGAGTACGGATGGAGCCTGCGGTATGGGGAATTTGGAAGCAGGAAGGGCGGTAGAGATGCATGAAGAGCCGATCGGTGGTCAACCAACGGTCGACATCTGACATGGTCGCAGAAAAAAGCGATTCGAATCATGAACACGGCCTGAGCCCGAGTTGAACGGAAAACCCTTCCATTTCAATCATGGATGTGTGGGACGCGGATGCGCCAGACGCTGCAACGGTTGTCAATGAATCTCTGTGGGAGCAGAGGAATGACGGTGGAAGCGAAGTCGCACTGGAAATAATGTGCTGAGCTGACATTGACAGCCATCCCCTGGAGATACGATGGGACAGACGGTGCGTGGACGGGATATGGCCTCGTGCAGCAGTCGCATCTTCCTCCGTGGCCACTCCTTAGGAAGCGTTATAGCCTTGTCTTGACGAGACTGCATAGACTGAGAAACAACTGAGAGACCAAGTGTCGCCGTGGATCCAATCCAATCCAGTCGGTCGCAACAACAAAGGCTTGAAAATTGGCCAACAGAAGAAGACAAGGAGTTGGCGGGATGCATAAAACCTGCATCGTAGCAGAGGTGTCGTCGAGATGGTGAGAGTGGGAAGAAAGAGACGCCGGAGATTGCCGAGTCAGAGACGGCTGACAAAGGGTGATGACGCGTCCCTGCCTTGCCTCTTCCCACCAACTTCCCTTCCGGTTTCTCCACGGTTCAAGTCTTGTTCTCTTGTGTCTCTCATGCTCCACCGTCAATCTTGTTTTCGTGTGGTCTCACTAGGTCTCACTTTGGCCACAATTTCAATGTCCTGGACCAAACGCAGCCAGTTGAAGCGCAGCGGGTGAATTTCTGCCACCGCACCCCCTCCCGACCCGTTGCGCATCTCCGACTACACCATGTCTGGAACCACCCAATAGCCATGCATTGAGCTGTCTCCCAATTTTCCTTTAGCGGATTTTCTAAAACCCAGGATTGGATTGGTCCAGCAGCTGCCTTGCAAACGACATGCCAATCCTAAGTGTCATCTGTAGGCTCAACCGTTATTGTCTCCGTCCCAATAGCATCGAATACGCATTCGCCTCCAGTGCCATTGTGATGAGAGATCATCCGTTTCGCGGGTTCCCGTTCGACTCGGGGTTGGGACAAAAGGAAGAAGAAAAAGGAATGGCTGTGCAAATTCCCAACACCTAGTAACAAGGCCGTTTGCGACCCGGATTCCACAGCCTCACCTTGTTCCTCGCAGTAGTATCTGCACAGTCCGACAACACCTGGGAAGTAGCCCAATTGCCGCGAGCTTCGCACGATTCTGGATGTACGCATGACAAACTCGCTGTCCTCTTGGAGCAGACTGACAAGATTTTCAGCCTTGATTGCGCCGGAGCCCTACTCCTGCCAGATATGTATCTCTGTAGGAATCCAAGGGCAGCCCGTTCGATCAAAGGACGAGTTCAGGTTTCTTTTTAGCGCCTCCAGTTCGTGAACGAAAACTCCGCTGTATTCAGAGCGATTAAATACGGTTACTCGCTTTCTGAGAAACACAGCCCTGGAAGTCCCGAATCACACGCATCAAAATAGTGAGCTGCATCCCCAAACTTCCTTTCTTGTCCGCCCTCATTCACAGGTACCCCAGCTCTGATGGCACCAATGCGCACCCGTACTTAGTGTAACAGCCCCAGCCAATTCTGCGGGGCCCCGTTCGACTCGGGATGTGAAAGGCATTGATTCAGTCATCCGTTGTCAACCCAATGTCAGCGATTGAAGATATATTGATGCGGTCCTGGACGGTGCGTCGCTATAAATGACCCTCGAGGAATCGATTATGTTCGAGACGAGCAAAAAATCGGTGATCGTTGTTTTTAATGCCCTGATCCACGCTTGCAGGCTCGGATGATCCTCACTTCCTTCGATTCGCTTATGAGATATACAGAACTGCCTTCCCTGCATCGATGGTCGTGTAGGATGTAGCAAGACTCCCGTTCGACTCGGGTTTGGGTAAATACATTGTGTGTTGAAACTTGAGTTCCTTTTCGAATTTATCTCGGAGGTAATGAGGCAGTGATGCAGTGGAGGGAGTTGAGGCCGCCTTACAACTCTCTGTTTAACTACGATCATCGGATGGTCTCTCGAACACCAGCTGAATTTGCCATTCTAACTTACTGTCATATTTACTCAAATTCGAGCACAGGGGATCGGGTGTGGTGTAGGGAACACAGCGAGTGGGTTTGGACGGGGATTCAATCTGCATATTGAACCTCGCAGTCCGGGGTTCGACTCCCCGCATCCGAATATTGAGCTATTGCGGCGTTCAATTTTTTTTACTGTCCTTCATTATAGTTTTTGGCCTGAACTCAACGAGAGTTCACATCATTTGCGGCGATAATCAATACTTTCAGGGCTACCAAACCGGCAGTGGGGTGTGTTGCATTGGACGCACACGTCCCTCCGTGCGCTCCATGTGCTTCGCAGAATAGTATGTTTTCAGTGGTTCAAATGCAACGGTCCTGTAAATATAGCATGGAATGGGGTGTGATGTAGGGAGCACAGAGAGCAAGATTAGCGATTACAGGCAGTGTGTCCGATGTAATGCGGCGTCTGTCTTCAAATTCAAATTTCAGGAATAATGATAGCAGGACGACAAGGTGCACACCTAAGTACCGTTCATCACAGCATCTCTCATCGCGTACAACTCTGCCCAAGGGGGAAGCCCAAAAATGTTCGGGAGATCGTCCCAGACTTTTTGGCGGGCCTCGGCGTGTTCAAGTCTCGCTACATCGCCGCAGTAGCGGCAGAAGTCGGTTGATTCCCAATCGTCGTCGTCCCAGTTGCTCAAAGGTCGCAAATCCTCCCCATCTTCCACTTGACATAAGTATCGATCTAATTCCTGAGCACGGCAGCGATTGCAGTCTTGGTAGTCCGTGCAGAATGGAGTGGACGGCGTGGTGAGGAACCGATTCACTGCGGCGGTCCCCTTCCGCAGTAGCGCCTGTGCCACCAGACATTTCCTGATCATAGTTTCACGGCCTTCAACCTGCTGTAGCAGAATAGTCTGGCCATTCGAGCACAACCGATAATACGCCATTGGAAGCAGCCACAAGGCGCTAACTTCCGTTAACGCCTGGATAACCTTTATGCACTGGCCGGTGTAGTTCCACTCCTCAAAGGTAATATAGTCACGTTCGGCAGTGAGGAACTGTTCCAGAGACTGGAGTCCATATCGGATGGAGAGCCGTTTGAGAGCACGCGTGTAGAGGTACGGTACATCGTACTTATGAGCTAGTCGGAGTATGCCGAGTACAGCAGCCAAACGGATGGGTTCAGGCGCCGGCATGAAGTAGCTGTCGGACAAACAGAGTCATCTCTTGGTTTGCCCAATATAGAACAACGTACCTCGAGTCCAATATCGCGGTGAGAAATGCATCGACATCTGAGGCAGCGTCCGACAGATTGACAACGGGAATCCCTTCATAAAGCTCTGTGTCGTTTCCCGGGAGCTGGGGGAGTCCTATCATGTCACGAAAGACGGACGACCGTGCAGCCAGCAGTGCTTTGGGTACTTGGAAAATTTTCGTTTCTGCCCGAAGTACCAGGGTCTCACTGGAGAACCAGAGATGTTCTACGCGTGTTTCCGCTGGTGCTTGTTCCATCTGGAACTAATGAGGAAACGGTGGGGTGGGTGGGCAACTTGACGCAGGGTGTGGTCAAGGGAGCGGACGAAGAGCGACCGGAAGATCCCGGACTTTGTATGTGTGTACATCCTTTCTCACGGCTCCACTCTTGTCCCAAACCACAACAAACGATTTCGCAATCCCTCGGTTTCGCCCTGGGATATCTTGGCCTGTGCCTCACAAGCCATTTCTTCTGCCCCTTGGACCTTTTCATAAGGGATACTCTTCGCGTCGGGGGTCTCCCTTTATTCGACATTTGCTCAATAATGGCACACCAGATTATCGGTAAGCGCGACGGGATGGTTAAAACCTCAAACATCGCTGTCCACTCCGCAGGTCATCATATTCCAAAGCTTTGCGACTCTGACTCAGTGCAAGAGGTCCATCTTCCCTCAATGCTGCCATGACATGGCCGACGCCCTTCGTTTGCTGGATGTGCTTCTCCGCCGACGTAGCCTAAGCGACCGAGGAAAGCTCAAGACTGGCACTGGATGGACAATCGCTGTGCAGTAATAGACCCGATGGTTAATTTCAACCCTCAATCGAACCATCGTTGACTCTTCTGGGTTCACCGAGTCGTTCCACAACTCACATCAGACCGAGCTCCGTTGAGCATTTCATCCATGAAACAAAGGATGCAAAGCTCTCCAAAGCAGACCACTTGTTCAATCAAAGCAATACCTCACCACAGAGTTAACGTCTCACATCGCTTCGTTGATTTCGCTTCCTGTTTTGCGTTGCCGCTATGATGCGTACGGTCGGAGTTTCAACTTCGTAACGTGGCATAACTCCTGCTTAGAACGTTCATGTCGACCAACGATCTGCCCACTGGCTCCAACCCGGAGCCCTGTTTTCCTCCAGAGATAGAGCGCGAAATTCTCGAGACTGCTGCAGTCCTCCATCCGGCAATGATTCCTCTCCTTCTGCGGATTTGCCATCGGGTTCATGCTTGGTGCGGTTTCTGGGCTCATGAGATGCATGTATTTAATCCTCTCATAGGATCGAACCACTGCTTTACAGAGTTCTCACAGTCGACTACCGGAACTTGCCGAGTCTCCGCGCGGCCGAGACCAAATCTGCATCATTCTTGCACACCGCGGTGCGCCACCTGTTCCTCGAGCAGCCCGTCAAGATATCGGAATTTCGCACCACCCTCCTGAAAAATTGCACCGGGGTAACAAATCTGTATTTCGACGGGGCACTCGAGATTCAATTCCTCGATATCCTGGGCAATATGCGTCTGCGCAAACTAAGTCTCTCCGCCCCGCGAGACGTTTCCGAAAAGCGGCAGCTGCTCCATCACTCGACTCTTCGTTTCCTTACGCACCTGGACTTGTTTGAGTCCTCGGGTACCACTACGGATGCACATCCGACCTGGGAGCATTGGCGCGCACTTGCTGCCCAACCCGAACTCACACATCTGTGTCTCTCGCGGCAATTCACAAGCGACGTGCTGATCCACGCGCTGGATGAATGCCCCCAGCTTGCGATCGCAGGCATCGCGTTTTAGGCGGAATGGGAGCGCGATGATGCGATCGTATTTGCTCAGAGCCTTGCGACGACAGTGACCGACCTGCGGATGGTGGTGCTGGTAGTGGTGAGCTACGATGGAGACTGGGAGGTAGGCGCACGGGGTGGGGATGACCTTTGGATCCGCGCGGAGGCATTCATTGCCAGGAAGCGCAGGGGTGAAATCGACAGTGCGTGTTTATCGTATGAATATGTGGCCGTCGTGGAGACTCTGATTTTCTCCAGAGGGCTGTCACTTCCTGGACGACATTGATGTGCAAACTCAATAAAACGACGCAACGAGCTCTTCATCCTTTCCCGCATACTTCCTTCAGACGAGGTGACCACTGGATCAGAAAGAAGTAGGTACACATAAATTTCGATTGGCTCAGTTTTGGCGCTATGGAATCTGAGTACGGGAGGGAAAGTTCGATGCGGCATCAGTTCAATCATAAAACACAAGTGCCCTCAACTCAATCGACTCCCTTGGCGGACTCCCCTCCGGCACCGACGGGTCCAGGAACGCAGTATGGGGTGTGAATACTGAGACACCCTCCGCAGAGTCGAAGCTGCGAACATGGTCATCATCGCTGTCAAGTGCGCGCATAATTGTACGCACCACTTGATCAACACGAACTCGTCTGGCGTCATCCCCTTTAAATATTTCCATCGATGCTCGGGGTTCCATCGCACCCTGTACGTCTCACCCTTGCGCTCCGGCGCCAGCCGCGCAACTGCGACTAAGTCCCGCTCCGCATCAACTGTACGGAAATCGCAGAGTGTGAGCGGCATGTCGAATGCGGGATGCCCAATTGGGCGCCATAGGTTGATGATTTGGAATCTGTGTTTGAGGAGGGACGGGGCGAGTTCTGGAGGGAGGTGGAGATGCACACGGGCGGTGGCGGATGCGAGCGTTTGATCGACGTGGACTTCCGTGACCGGCTGGCGTTTGGATACCACGTCCGCTTGGCCTGGGATTCGACGGCGGATTGCTGGTGCAGCTCCCACTCAGTGCACAGGGGAAGAACTCGGGAGGCGAGACGCACTATGATCAAATAAAACAACCCTGCTGGCACCAGTCATCCCTTTAATCAGCTCCTCGCTCTCCTGGTAATATAATGCCTTGATTTCCTCCTCGTCCAAGAACGATTTGTGGTTAGCGGGAGAGCGAAAGAACTGGAATCCCGCTTCGTCAAGGAGGTACGCATCTTCCTTGCCTCGAACGTTCTCGATCTGGACATTGTGTTTCTCCGGCGTCCAATTCGACAGGGGGAGCTGCGATGTGGGGTCGGAGGCAGGCCAGTTGGGGGAGTTGACGCGGTTATAGGGCGCAGAGCCGTCGGTGGGAGGGGAGAAATAGAATAGGGGGGCTGTTACGGTGTCGAGGGTCGTTGAAGGCATGGTGGGACGGCGGAGCGACTTGGTTGGTGGTGGTGTTCTTTTGGGAAGTGAGGATTGCACCATCGTCTCACGGAGTTCCGCAATCGAGCCAGATGACCAGGGAAAACTATTACTGGAGGTTCGCCGAACCGGCTATCCTTGCACTGGGATGGCGGAGAGAATAGGGACCCATTTATGGATTCGGGAAACGGTCCGAGTTTCGGTACAGTTTCTGTTCGAGGGATGCACGAAATCCTGCACGCATGTTGAGCGGCAGATGACGAACATCATAAGCGTAGTTTGGTTGAGAGCCTCCCTTAAGCTTCTTTTTGACTTGTGCGTTGCCACAGCTCAACTGGCTATTTTGCGAATAATGAAACCTAAAACATGTGGTGAAACGGTCAGTGAATAACCGGGGTTCGAATTCATGGAGACTATAAGACATCACGAAATCTCCGGCTCACATTTCAAGACCAGCTACATTGCATGAGGCTGCATGAGGCTAAGGGCAATCGCACCAACTTGAAGTGATCGATACCGCGAAGGAAGCTAGGCGCGAGAAGAACGTGTTTACGATTATTACGGGCAGGATAAATGACAGCTTTGGGACCCAGTGTGTCCGACACTACTTCTGCTGCTGAATATATTCAGGAGGAATGATGGGAGGACAGTAATAAATACACCTACCTAACCTGACCCAGTGCCTTTCATCACCGCATCCCTCATCCTGTT